CATAACTGTGTGTTAAATGTTAGACCAGAAAATAAAGTGGACCAAATGCAATTAAACTTTGAGTTGGAGGAAATGGTGAGGCAATAACGAAATGGAAAGCACATGAAATGCCATTCGAGGCAATCAACCGAAAAATGTAAATGAAAATTGACAGAAGGGCAACAAAGTTTCCTTGGCATAACGAAAATCACTCATGAAATTTGATTGACTGCTTCAATGAGTAAGTGACTTTAACCACTGACAGATGAACTGACTCTCACAGGCAAAAATTTCGTTTTTCCTGCGGAAACGTCCTGACAATCCAAACTCAACTTTCCGCAAAGCCGAGAGGATCCCGCAAGCCCCACCCTGCCGTTCTAGGGCTCATGAAAATTGACAATCAAATTGCAAATAGCTTTATCTTGTAGTTTGTTTATTTATTTATATCATTTCGTTCACTTTCTGTGCACGGCAGGAAACAATGAGCAGGACCGACAGAAATGGGGGGAAATCGCCGTATTTTGGGAAGCCCGTCCCGCTCCCCCACGGCCCCAATGTGGCCGGTGGCCACCATTCTGCCAGGATGTGTCTGTGGGTGTGTGATTGCCTGTCCTTTTTGGCCTGTTATCCTTGGCTTATGTTTTCAATTAAATTTCCATACAATTTTCATGACATGATGAACTACCTAGGGCCAGGAGCAGATCCAGCGCCAGGACTCAGCTCGACTTTCCTCTCAGCTGTGACTGACTGGACTATTGTGGCCCCGTGTGCGTGTGTGTATGTCAGTCAATTTATTTAATAACAAACGCACAGGACACACAATACACACACATATATATACATATACATATATGCATATATACGCAGTCAGTCACACGCTGTATGTTACATCAGAGCAGCGGCAGTCCAACTCCTGTTCCATCATACAAATCTCTGTGGAAGTTTCTGAATAAATCAAGCGCCAAATATTTTATTTCATTTTATTTCCACTTTCATAAAATAGACGAAAAGAACAGGAAATGCGCAACATCGGAGCTCAGAATGAGGGGGTGTTATTTCAAGTCTGGAACAAAGTCGGAAACCAATTTGAGCATCTGTGTTCTTAATTCGTCAATTATAACACCTCGAACCAAATAAGTCATAACGTAGTATCATAGATTTTCGTAATTTAAAACTTAGGACTCAAAGAACTGCTTGATTAGAATGTCAAATATTCCGATTTATAAGCAAATTATAACATTTAACACAATTATATAGTTTTAAGCTATAAAATTGTTATTTAAAATGCCCCCGAAGAGGCGCTAAACCTTTATCAATAAATATTAAAGTTGATTTGATTTAATGGCAAAAATGGCATACAGAAACAAAAGCAACGGCGAAAGCAAAGGAAAAAGAAATCACTTAACCCTTGAGCAACCCCGACACATGCCAAATTGACTTGGGTGGGTTAGCGACCCTTTTATCCAACTTGAACTCAAATTCAGTCGGCGGAAAGGAGCAGGGTATGAGGTAGTGCGGACTCAAGTCAAACGGAATATAAATCAGTTTAATGATTTCACTGCAAAAAAGAAACAAAGCCAAGAAGCGGAAACTTGAGTTTGCTCTCTGCCAGGCGCCTGAAATCGGAATTTGGCAAACAGTATCGCAAACATCGATGCCGAACCTGCACTCAAACATTCCAGCAACAAGTGGGGCTGTGCGTCTTTCAGAAGCCCCATTTTACTGTAAAAAGCGGTCCGCATAGTAACGAATCGGACTGAAAGTGCTTGCAGGGATACATTTGCGGTACAGGCGAGACAAGGACCACAGCTGCACTATCCATCCCCTTCTGTACGCTATAGCTATACACGATCTTGAGATGACCGACCCAAAGTATGTTGGAAACATAATAATGTATTTGATATGTGTTAAGCAGGTAAAAGGAACCGTTTTGACTCTGTTAAGTATATTTATTTTTCGTCAAGCTCCCGTGCTATTATGCAATTTTTTAAAAATAATATTTTATTCAGAAGACGGCCCGCAAGACAACTTCAAATATGATTTGAATGCACCATTAATTCCGATCCGAAGGCGACACTGGACCTATGGAGAACGTATGATTTATGTCGGCCTGTGCTAAAACCAAATAACAACTTATTTTTACGACGCCCTCAGTGACAGCCTCAGGGTTTTTCAAGCGCAGGCTGCAAATCCCTTTACAATATCTGGACCCCAATGCTCCTTGCAGCCCAAGAAGCGTCTCCTGCTTTTTCACCAGAGTGTAAAAGTACGAAAAGCATAAATGCTGTGAAAAAAACGAGTCCATATGTGTGTGGGCTCGTGAGTGCATAAAAAGTAATGCCGGAATAAAAATACCTGAAATATGCTTACAGCCCGGTAGACACACACGCACACACACTGACACACACTCACACACACATTTACGATTGCTGAAGGAGTAAAAATTGTAACGGCTCGGGAATGTAGAGTGAATTTACACGCTAAACGCGGCCCAAAAGAGAGCAAGCCAGGTCATTAAATGCTTGTTGGCCAGGTGGGGGACTTCCCCGCCAAGACACACTCGTAGGCTCCCCCAAAAAGGTTTTACATGTCATTCCGACCTCCCCCCCCCAACACACACACAGACACAGTTATACACACACGGGCATAGTGGAGAGTCAGAAATTGACATAAATACATAATGAGCCGCAATTTCGCCCCACATGTGGGCGAAGCCACGAGGGGCCGGGCGTGGCAGTGGCCAAAGTGCGTAGGGCTAAAAATCATAAACTTTTACTTTAATTTCCCGCCGGAATTGGCCCAAGAAACCGAGGCAATAAGCGAGTACACCACACACACACACACACAACCGGGCGGGCCAAGAAAGCGAGCTGTCAACAATTTGCCAACGCAGCGCCTAGTTGTTTGCAGGCCATGTGCTTGGGTGGGGTGGGTAAATAGATTGGAGTTCAAAGAATCTATCGAACACGGGATGGTAGATGGTGCTGGGTGAATGTAACGGGCCACCGCTTTTGTAAGAGCAGGTTCCTATATTAGCTAATTGCCTGCGTGGGAAGAAACTGCGCGCGATCTTATCTGATTCCATTTTACAATTAACGAAAATTGTGGCATCTGAATTGATGTTGGTAGAGGAAATTGTTCTGCAATTACCTACCACCAAATGCTGAAGCGATATACCCCACTTGCCGCTGAGTACAGGGTGTCCACGACTTGACATCGACTTGCTCTAATATTAGGGCCAAGTTGTTGGCTGGCAAAGTTCACGCGAAGGCAATGGAACGCCATTCCCGTGAGACATTTTCAATTATTTATTATTTATGTCGGGCGGGGAAGGCCGCCTCCACAGCTGGCCATATGTGTCGTGTCTTGTTCAGTTGACAAATTTGCAGCCCGATCCTGACGAGCTTTAATGCGGACGAGGACACAAGGACACGAGGACACAAGGAGCTAAGGAGCTAAGGAGCCAGTGCTCGGAAACAGACAGACGGGCAAACGTGGAAATTTCGTTAAGAAAATTATTTACATTTGCAAATTTTATGAGCTTTGTTCCATCTGAGGACGAGTGGGCAGGTGGGCAGGTGGGCAAGTGGGCGGGGCTGGCTCTCACATGTCTGCATGTTTAATGTAATGCACGGTGCTCCACGCTCCACGCTCCACCACGCCCACCGAATTCCCACCCAGCCAGGACTCGCTGCTTATGGCTCCTGGCTCCTGGCTTCTCTTACCCCACACGTGTTGTGCTTTTTAACCGTATTAAATTACATCCCTGTTGGCGTTTATTAATGGCGCAAACTTTTAATGAGAATGTGCATATTTAATTGCAAAGTCAAGAGAAAAAGACAGCCGGAGTGGGTGGGGGCGTTGGCAGAATGTGGCGCTGGCCTAGCAACCGCTAAGACTCTCTTTGTTCCGCGGGCTCACCACTCATCCACATCCACCAGATTCGGAGCACTTGCTTACCTGATTCTCGGTATAACCGGCATGGGACTGCAAATGGGAACGAGATGGGTTCTGGGAACGCTACTTAGCGGCAACATCTCATCAGCATTAATGTGCCCTGGTCGTCGTCATAATCAGCGCTGAGGTCGCAAACGCAAATTGCCTCAACGTTTCCCAGTGTTTTAGTATTTTTGGGCCATTCACCAAGATGGACTAATTTAAAGGGGTTGCCGGGTTGCCTAAAAAGGGATTTGGAGGCACTGGGGCAATATGCAACACCTGTCTGTGGAAGTGAGAGTAGGTCCTTGGAGCCTACCACTCAGATCGTATAGTCAGCCCGATTTCGCCATTTTCGCAGAACTAAAGTAAAACATCAACATCAATTAGAGTTTTCTTCCGAATCACTTACGTTTAAAACATTGATCTTAGGTTAAGATAGTTTGGCAAACACATGTTTGCAAATCGGTGCATATTTTCAATGGCCGATAAGAATTGTGTTAATAAAAAAAAATCAAGTGCCTATATTTCTTTTGACTTGGTATGACTCAGTTTAGTGAAAATCATGCGGGTGTCATCTATAATTTTATGTTGGGTGCATGTTTTGTTATCTGAAGTAGCAGATTTTGTACTTAAAAGGTTAGGGATTCCACAGAAAATTTTTTTGTAGCATACTTTTCATTACAAAGGTTCCTATATCTTAAAAAGCAAAAATTATATATAGCGTCATTATTCTCTATAATATATGTTATCTTGTAAACTGTTTTAGTCGTTGTTAAGGAAATCTCCATACAAGGAAGAAACAAGAAGGCGAAACAATTTTAAAAAGCAAATTAAGGTCGGAAGTTACGATTGGGAATTGCAATTGATATGCTCATGAACAAGAGGGGAAATGAAAACGGCGACATGTCGTTTCCAGTTCCGCGGAATGGCAACAATTAAAGAAATTAAAACATTTTGGGCAAACGCTCGTATCCGAAAGATAACGGAAGCCATTAAATTAATATTCCCTATGATCACGCTATCCGCCAAAGTCGCAATAGTATTTTTCCTATATTTTTGTCGAAACTCCGATAAGGTGTGATAAAGTGCTTCATATAAAAGGGGGTGCACTTGCGAAACAGTCATTACAGTTTATTGTTCGGTACAAGACTTATTATTGTGCAAGCAAAGGAGCTGCAAAAAGGAATAGCTGTCGATAGAATGAAATTGGCCATAGGTAACGAATTTGTTTGTGCAGTCTATAGACCAAAGCGTCTGCCAAGGACTAAACCATCTTATTCTTGCAGTAATTGCCTGTGCCGCCCTTTCGGTGATCGGCATCAATGCCGTTAGTGTGCAGTCGGGCGTAAGGGCAATCGATAACCAACTTTACAAGCGTTACGTGTGCGTTCATAAGCCCGATGGATTCCGCGCTTTGGTCCCCGGAAGTTGCTCCCGGTACTACGAGTGTCAGTCTGGAGTGGCTCTTGTCAACGTCTGCTCTCGCTTTTTCGATGCTAAGGCCCAGGGATGTGTGAACTACAACACCGGCTGCATTGAGGTTCAGCCTTCATCGGGAAGCAGCTCGCCCGCAGGAGGCTCGATCGCCGGAGTGCCGTGCGCCCAGGAAACTACAACAAAATGCCCACAAGGCGACGTACCGACTACAACAACCTGTCCACAAGACATCGTACCGACTACAACCACATGTACACCAGTAGATGAAACAACCACAACGACTTGTACAGCAGAAATTCCTACTACTACAACCTGTACAACAACTAAAACTACAACAACCTGCACAACTACAACTACGACTACTACAACAACTACAACAACCTGTACAACTACAACTACAACAACCTGTACACCAGAAATTACAACTACAACACCGTGTACACCGGAAATTATAACTACAACAACCTGTACACAAGAAATTACAACTACAACAACCTGTACAACTACAACTACAACTACAACGACTACTACAACAACCACAACTACTACTACAACTACAACAACTACAACTACTACTACAACTACAACAACCTGTACAACTACAACTACAACAACCTGTACAACTACAACTACAACTACGACTACTACAACAACTACAACAACCTGTACAACTACAACTACGACTACTACAACAACCTGTACAACTACAACTACGACTACTACAACAACTACAACAACCTGTACAACTACAACTACGACTACTACAACAACTACAACAACCTGTACAACTACAACTACGACTACTACAACAACTACAACAACCTGTACAACTACAACTACGACTACTACAACAACCTGTACAACTACAACTACGACTACTACAACAACTACAACAACCTGTACAACTACAACTACGACTACTACAACAACTACAACAACCTGTACAACTACAACTACGACTACTACAACAACTACAACAACCTGTACAACTACAACTACGACTACTACAACAACTACAACAACTACAACAACCTGTACAACTACAACTACAACAACCTGTACAACTACAACTACGACTACTACAACAACCTGTACAACTACAACTACGACTACTACAACAACTACAACAACCTGTACAACTACAACTACGACTACTACAACAACTACAACAACTACAACAACCTGTACAACTACAACTACAACAACCTGTACACCAGAAATTACAACTACAACACCGTGTACACCGGAAATTATAACTACAACAACCTGTACACAAGAAATTACAACTACAACAACCTGTACAACTACAACTACAACTACAACGACTACAACAACCACAACTACTACTACAACTACAACAACTACAACTACTACTACAACTACAACAACCTGTACAACTACAACAACCTGTTCAACTACAACAACCTGTACACCAGAAATTACAACTACAACACCGTGTACACCGGAAATTATAACTACAACAACCTGTACACCAGAAATTACAACTACAACACCGTGTACACCGGAAATTATAACTACAACAACCTGTACACCAGAAATTACAACTACAACACCGTGTACATCGGAAATTATAACTACAACAACCTGTACACAAGAAATTACAACTACAACAGCCTGTACACCAGAAATTACAACTACGACAACCTGTTCACCAGATGAGGAAACGACAACGGCATGTGGAATCGTGGGCGGGATCTCCGGTTCTTCGAAGACCAGGCCAACATCCGTGAATGTGCGACCAGCGAGACCCGTGCGCCCCGTCGTTCGTCCCGCATTGAAAATCGATCAGGTGTCGGCTCCCCAAGCCCAAGAGCTTAGCATGTCCACCTATACAAAATACGTGTGCCGCAACAAGCCCGACGGCTTCATGTTGGCTTCCCTGAAGAGCTGCTCCGACTACTATATCTGCCGGTATGGAAAGCCACTGTTGGTGAGCTGCGGCGATAAATACTTTAACGCTCTGAAGGGCATTTGCGATCTGCCAGAGAACACGCGTTGCGTGCAGCCCCAAGCATAAAACTTCATGATGACTTCCTGATCGAAATCACCTACGAAACAGCCTATAAGAGCACTACCTGACCACCACCTTGATAATTGTGCCCGATCGATCGCCTTTTAAAATTAAATAAATTTTCATTCGATGCAAACGCTAATACAAGCTTAAATAAGGTTCAAGTTGTATAGATGTAAACCAGTTGGGAATTATAGATAAGTATCCGCACTCCGTTTAGTTGAAAGCTTAATGTATACGTGACAAGTATTACAAGCATTACATTAAAATACAACCCAGTATATGTAAATCTTAAAGCGAATAACAGGATTCGAACATACTTTCAGCCACCAGCTATTTTCCAAGACACGTCTGGCAATAGAAAGAACAAAGGTTCAAAAGCACAAGGTGTGCTTTGGTTTTTCCAACATTTTTTCTGTTAAAGGCTTATGTGTTAAGTCCATGGATTCGCGAAAGGATTGTGGGACAAATTTGTTACAGGACTTCCTTCCCCCCTTTGAAATAGGCATACACATATTATTATTGTATTTAATAAGAACAACAGGAACTTTTTATTATTTTGATTTTATCCAATGTAATTGCCATGGTCCAAGCTGAAAGAAAAGGATGTTTAAAATATTGTTATTAAATAGTGCTTGTACGAGAAATCTGGGTATTGTATAGCAATAAAAACCCAAGCGTCAGAAACTGACCATTGATTTTCGAAATTTCAGATATAGGCCATATATTAAGGGAGGCAATTCCTTTTCCAGTTGGCTAGAATCAATGGGACTGAACGTTGAAAGTCAAAGCTCTCGCAGTAGGCGGTCAAAAATCAGTGCCAATAAACAAGGAACAGGAATGAAAAATTCGCAATAAAGCCAACACATGGCCCTCTTTCCCCGCAGCCTCACTTTTCCGCGTTCTTTTTGGAAACTGAAACGAAAACGCTCGCCAGGTCTGTAAAATAAAATCGGCTTCACCCTTTTGCAGCTGAAGAATTCAAATTAGAGTTTTGATTACAATCGAACGCCAAAGCCGCCGCCTGCCTTTTTGCAAAAGATTTATTGAACTGCCACGCCCCTCGGAACACGCCACCCGCCCCCAGTCAACCGCATCCACCGAAAGTCGGTGAAATTTTTATTGCCAACGCTCGGCACTTTGTATTGGCCCTTAAGAAAATTTCAATTTGCACAGCATCCCACACCCGAACAGAGTAACGTACTCACTTGTATTACATTTCTTGGGGAATGGCTCACACGTTTCTGACATCCTTCTGAAGCTTAGCAGGTGTACAAGCCATACGGCCAACAGGCTGGTCCGCTCGGTCCGCATCCCCTGGGTCCGCCGCAGCAGGAGTAGGGTCCTAGTGAGAGGGCGCAAGGACCACACCAGGGTCCGCACCATGGTCCGCAAGGACCAGAGGGTCCGTAGCCATAGGGACCGCACCCATAACCGCACATAATGTTGCTTTAGAGAAGGGGTTTATTTTTCAACTGACCTAGGCTTCACGGATTAAGAAACGGGAAAACTTAAGGTGTTAATTTGGAATTTGGATAGTGAATTTTTATTCAGAGATTTTCAGTCCTGTTTGGCCTGACTTGAGAGCTCCAGATAAAAATTCCAACTGATCGTTTACTGCGGCTTTCCTAATCTCGTAAAAAGTTCGAATTGAGTCTTTTTTCATGGCACACTGATGGGCCTTTTAAAGTCAAGTTAAGTTCGGGAACAGAAACTTGCAGGCAACGAATAAATATTTATGAATACTCGAATATTGAATCTTCTTAGAAAAGAAGTATGCTAAACATGTCGAGAATTATACTTTATTTCATAAGTAACCATGCGTAAGCATAATGGCTCAAAAATAACTAGAATTGACAGTTGGTAACAAATGGATATTGCTTTGTCCTGCTTAGAAGCAATGTACTGTAACCTAGTTGCCACATAAAATGGCGCGGATTGTACGCCCAATTCCGAAATGAAAAGCTTGGGTAATAAGCCTGGTGCCGCTGGCGAAGCCAAAGGGATTCCGGAATGGAAGAGTTGGCTGAGCAATTAGGAATGAAAATGCCGCGGATCCCATAAAAATCAACGAGCCGAGAGTGTTAAATTTAATAATACAATAACCAAATTGGCTCAGGGATCTTTAAATTTGGAAATTTAAATTAACGACGACCTGGTGGGAGGAGCGAGCAAAGCTCCAATCAATGCCAACTCCAGCTCGTTGGTGGTGGGTTCATCGAGCCCAGATTCGGTGGATGGGTGGTTGGGTATTTGGGTGGTTGGATGGGCAACAGCTGCCAGGATCTCCCCTCTCTGGGGATAAATTAGTGGTTTTGGTCTCTAATATAGTCGTCTGCTCGAATGCCCCTGCCATTTGTCATTTGTCACCCCTGGCGCCGTTTTCTTGCCGCACTGATTTAATATTTATTTTATTAATTCAAAATTAACATAAAAAATTTCGGAAATATTTTGACACTTGCCCTTCGTATGCCGTATTGGCCCAAAATCTTGGCTTGTGGGGGTGGCTTGTTATTATTTTGACACTTGCCAAACAATTGGCATGCGAAATGAAAACCCAGCTGCCTCCAAGGAGCAACCAAAAGAACAGAGCGACGTCGGACTGAGGGAAAATTTTATTATGGAATTTCGTAAATTAAATATTTACACGACAGCTGTGCGAAGGTCTTAAGCCTGTTCGGGCGCCACTGGGAAGTTTATATACATGGCTTACCCTCGTTGATTCAATATTTTGCTTGGGCAATAATTGAATTTAATAGATGCCTGGGAAATTCCTCTGGAAATATGGCAGTGAAAAGTTGGTATTCCAGATATATAGTCAGTTTCTTTCTGTTGCGATTAGCTCTTTAAGGGCAATCATTTAATTACCCCAAGAAGTCACCTAACCAAAGTCAACAGCTAAATTGGGCGCTGGAAAATAAAAACAAAAGTAAATACTTCACGGGCACGAAAAAAAAAGCCAAGGTGCGGAGCGAAAAGCATTCGAAACGAGCAACGTAAACTCGCTGAATGTTGTGTCACTAATTCTGGTAATTTGTCACTTTATTTACATTTTAAATGAATGCCGTTCTGTTTGTTGTGCGGGGATGGTGGTGCTTCTGGTAAGGACAGTAAGTAACCGAGAGAAAACCAATTTCCATTTTCATTTTGCGGGAAACGCAGCAAACGGAAGACAAAAACAAATGAGTAGCTGACGTGCGGGCCAAAGCACGAAACACGGCACACAGAAGCAAAAAAACCCTTATCCTGCTTCGGCACCTTCTTGGCCAAAGGACCTCTCCCACAAACACTTACACACACACACACAGACAAAAGTGTCGAAGCCAAAGGACAGGCGAGGAAAAAGGACTCGGCCACGACCAAGAAATGCGATTAAAATTTGAACATTGAGGCGAAAGGCAAAAGACGCTTTTGTGGCAACCGTCACAGTCGACAGTCGGAGGGTCCTGTCTTAATTTGAATGAAGTGGCAACATTGATAATAGCCCGCATCTGCCGGTGAAGTCCTTATGCTGCCCCACGCAGCTTCTCCTTTTTTTTTTACCAATAGAACCAATACCTCAGTAAACACTTGAAAGGGCAAAGGTCTAATCAACCTGCAGTTGTAACTAAAACATAATTAAAACAAGATAGAATGCTATAGCCGAGTTCCCCGACTATCAGATACCCGTTACTCAGCTAGTGCAAGTGCAAACGAGAATTCTCAACATTTTCTGGAATATCGGTAGAAATTAGAGAAAAAATAGTTAAATGAAAAAGAACTTAAATATTTTTTAAAAGAGCGGGCGTGCAAAAAGTTTTTGTTTGCAAATCTATAGAAGCTTACAAAATATATAAAAATAGGAAAAATACCACAACATTTTTCAAAAGTGTCGGCGTGCCAGTTTTGAGCGGTTTGTGGGCATTGGAGTCGGCGTGCAAACAAACTTGTGCTGCGTCTATGTCTCTGGAAGCTGCTTCCCTAATATCAACATTTTAGCTTTTGAAGTTTTTGAGATCGAGGCTTTCATACGGACAGACAGACGGACATGGCCAGATCGACTCGGCTATTGATCCTGCTTAAGAATATATAAACGGAAACGTCTCCTTTGCCTGTTACATACTTTTAAACGAAAGTAGTATACCCTTTTATCCTACGAGTAACGGGTATAATTACAAAATAATTAAATTTAAAAAATTTTCTAAATTTGAATGATTTTTAGATCTTACGTCAGAATTACGCCAGAAACATTTAGAGGTATGCTACTTCAAAATCCGATTAAGATAAGTTGAGTTATGGGGTTTGGAACTTCAGCCTTAGGACATTTCTTAATTTTTTTGAATTTCTGCAGCACGACGAATAGTGAACGAAGGTGAATAGGTGTGGAGTATATCTGAAAATAAAAATAGTATTATCTAAAGAGGTCCAACACATACATCTTAGATGAACTGCGTTGAGTGTGAGAATGAAATGTAGATCGCCTGCCTGGTTACATAAAATATAAAGAACACAGTATATGCTTTTTGGGCCTCAGGGATAAACATGCTTTGAATATGTGTGCCTATTTTGCACTAAAGCTATTATTTTGACAGCTAATAGTCTCTACAACCTAACCCGGTAAGAGCGTGAGATTTTGGCTGCGTCGCTGTGCCCAAAATGCTCCTCGTTCCGTGTTTAGACCATTACGAATGGAGCGGAACGTATCCAAGGACACGTTTTGGCAATATGCACGACAAAGGTACGTTTATTTGTGGGTCCATAAAAGGTATAAGTACGTGTGCCCGGGAAAAAAGGCCAAAGTGGCGGAGGACTCCCTGATAAATTTACGAGGCGGCCTGGTCATAAAGGACATGCCGTCCCGCCGACAGGATCCGCTGAGCATTTGCTTGGCTGATTGAATTTGTCTTTGCATATTTTCTGGAGGGCGGCTGCCCATTTTTCTTGGCAAACTAATGGAAATCTTCGGAGAAAGACGAGTTAGTTTTTATTTCGCTATCTCTGTTGACATTTAATTATTTTTTCCATATTTGCACCTAGATAAGAATGTTTAATCACAAAATAGTTAAAATATATTCTTTTCTTTGAATCTCTGAATCTGGAGTAAGTAGAAACAGTAGATATAGTTATTTAATTAAAAAATAAATCAATAATTAAAAGAAAGAGGATGTCGCCACTATCCGATACCCGTTACATATTTCATTCTATTTTAAGACTTCAGTTGTTGAGTAGCTTATGTACAGCCTCTCCCTTTAGGCGTTGGCCCAGATATTCTTTGCTGCTGGGCTCTCATGAGCCGTGTTTGTTGTTTGTCTTGTATTAATTAATTTTAATTCGAATTTTTGTCTTTACCGCAGACTGCGTATAAAGACGCCCGTAAGTATTTTATGCTCACGTATGCATAAATGATAACGCCCCTCGTCCTCGAGAGCCACAACTCTTGAGCCGAGTATTCACCGCAAGCCAAGTTGTGTGCTCTGTTAAGTGGTGAACGCATCCATCCCGATGCCACACCGGCTCCAGTTGCCGCTCCTTTGGCCGATCCGGGTTCTGGTCCGGGTCCGGGTACGGGTCCGGGTTCCCCTCCCGATCCGCAGTGCCTTTAGGCCTTTAGAATAGACGTTGCCTGCCTGACTGCCTTCCGGTCCTCCACTATGTTTGTGCAATGAAGCGTTGGGCTTTTATAACGCCAACAGCCAGCTGAGGGACTCCGGGACGAGCGGCTGGCGGAGGATGAGCGTAGTCAGTCATTGAGAAGCTGTAAAAAGCTGAGGGAAAATTCTTAATTTACAAAAAAGAAACGATACGAAACGAAACGAAACCAAAAAGGAAAAACTCCTGCGCAATAAATGAAACGTAAGGTAAAAGAACGAAACTCAACAACTCAGCGAGAGGCGGGGCTTCCTTGCAGGACAATCGTGAAGGGACTTCAGTGCCCCCAACAGTTTTTGGTTTGGACACACCCGCCGCATCCCTGCGATGTTCACGCACTGAAAGCTTTCCGCTCCACTTGTCCGTTCCTTTGATTCTCACGGTTTTTGATTTGAATGCCCCAACCCACGACGCTCCTCCACCTTGACTGCGCCAGGAGCGCCGAGCTGTATCTTTGAGATACTTAGATACGTATATATTTTAATGTGCGCTTTATTAACAGCTTTAGATAGCAGCGTTTCTGCTTTCGCTGGCTGACTGGTTGGCTGCCCGGACGAAAGTCCTTCTCTCAGACCTGGCTGATGGCTGTGTGTCCTGGTAGATTTGGTGGCCAGGTGGGGCTGCGCTTTTCTTACCCTGGGCGATGGACGATGGACGCCAAGTTCTCGTTGGGGAATTTGCATTGTGGAAGGCAAACTCATTTCGATTGGGTTTTTTCTGCAGCTGACAGGTTTCTTTTGCGATGTTGCCAGTTTTCCACTGCTATCAAATCGATTACAACTTCTCATAAATTTGCCACAGAAATTAAGGGCGGAAACCAGTTTAATGATTCACACCGGTATTAGGATTAGTAGAACATGGCTAAATATGTTCTTGACCAAATCTGTGAACATTCGCTATGATTTCCCCGCAGAAATGTTTCATAGTTTACAATATAAATAATAAGTGACAAAACTTGTTAGTTATTAAATTAAAATTTTACTCTCCCAACTCTTTCTGCTTCAATTAGAAACTTAAAGGCGTTAAAGCAACAACACATGGGGCCGATCCTTCTCAGCTAACCGGCTGTCAGAGCCATCACAAAAATTACATTTTGCCGGCTAATTACAATTTCAAATTAAATCACAAGTAATTAGCTGAAAGTCAAAGACAAACATGGCAAACAATGGGGCGGGCTTGGGAATTTGACAGCATTTTATGATTTACAAACGCAATGTAGATTTTTTGCCTAATGGTCCTTTGCTTCCGCTTGACAGGTGGGTGGTATTTGGTGGGTGGTGCGGGTCAGGGGTCACGCCACGACCAGAATATTTGTCTGCCAAATGAAAGACATTAAAAGCGACAACAAGCAGCCAAATGGGCAAAACAGGCGACACATTAAAATCCATTTTTAATGTTGATGTGAGTCCGCCCCGCCATTTTTCCGACTTCCGAAGCATTTTCTTCCTTGTGTACCATTTTCCCGTTTTCCCGTTTTCCCGTCCTGTTTATTATTTATACATGTGTCTGTCTGTTTTCGCCTCTCTTTGACTTTTGACGTTCCCGATCCCTCATCTCCATCCGCACCACAATCCCACCCACAAAGTGCGCATTTCCACCATTAGCCTGACACGACGTCCGTTAGAAATGTAATCTAAATAATTACTTTTATTGCGATTTCGCCGTATGGTAATCAGCAGAATCGGAATGGTGTGTCAAGCATTTTTCACCGTTTCGGCTCCTGAGTTATTTTTATGGCGTATATTAATGAGTTTAGCTTCCCCATTGGAGCCGCTACAAATGAAACATTTTCTTTGCATATTAGACTGCTTAATTTCAGTGCTATACACGAATTAGCATTACTTCCATGTACATATAAGTAGGCAGTTGAAAAGGAGTCAGTCAAAAAATTAACAAGTATTTCATCAGCGCGCAATTGGTTGGTTGCAATGTACCATTCCCTAGGGCCAACAGGTGCCTACTTCAAGCGACCCTGTCCGCGGGATCGGCTTGCCAGCCTGGTGGACGCCAGGCTGGGCAGCTCGGCCATCGCGGATAAGGGATACCGCTTGAAGATAGTTCGTCCTGGGAGCACTTGCGAGGCGGAGAGGCGAGCGGCGAAAGCGGCATTGGACGCGAATGTGCCGCCGGCCAGGCTCTATCTGCGCTCCACATCCCGGGGACTGCGGCGTGCCCTCGACATCTATATGCCGCGTTTCCAGCCCGACGACCACCCGCCCTGCACCGAGGAGGAGCAGCGGTCGGAGGACGAACTTGGGGCCAGGCGGCTCTGCCCATCGCCACCAACTCGGCGGGCCACTGATGGCACGCCGCATCTTCCAGAGCTTGGAGCGGTGGTAAGTGGACTTGCTGCACTCCATCGAACTTTTAATATTCTGCTGCGTCCGACAGTAACGACCACTTGATGGGGCATCTCCTGCACTTGCGAATAGAGAATGATTGAAAAAAAGGGAAACAATGCCACTAACATCTGCTTCCAATTACAAGGGACTTACGGAGGGGCCTGTTTCTTCAGACATCAACACGAACACTTACTTTCTGGTTCTGCATCTCGGGGCGTCTCCCAAATGTCAACGGAATGGCTGTCAGCTATCAAACACTCTACGAATGGAAATCTGGGGGCAGAGTCTTAATGGGCAGCAGCGAAATTGTTACATGTATTGGGAAGTGTTCATTTCTTTATTAAAATAGCTACATTTTATAAAAATAAGCTAAGCTAACATAAAAAAAGTTAAACAATATGTACATATATACTTTAAAAGAACCTAGTTTACTCTGTTTAAGGGTATAATAAATGCCTCAGTAGCAAGTTACATATTTTGAAAGTGCCAAGAATAAAGATTCTTAAATTTGTGTATCACTCTAAAAGTTTGCATTTCAAACAGCATGTGTTCATACTAAAATACCTAACCCATCATTATTAAAGTCATCTTTTTACAAGCTCAACTCAATGTTTCAAATTTCAAGAAATGTTTCATTGGAGATGGTTTCCGTGCCGAGCTGGATTTCTTTGGTACGCATTCAGGACCTCTTCCGCTGCCATCTCCCCAGCTCCCCAGCTCTCCATCATGCCACGCTTACTTTAGCGCCCTGCCGCCCATTTAGCCAGCCCCGCTCATCCTCATCCTCATCCACCCCGCGCATCCTGGCCACCCCGCGTCCTTGCTCACTTCGCCATATGCTTTGCATAACTTAGGGCGCAACAGGAAATGAATGGAACACGCCCCGCCGACTGAAACATAACGAAATGTGGGGAGAACAACGTGGCAGCAGCAAAAACAACAAACAGGGCCGTGGCACAGTTATTCCACGTACTTTCCCCACTTTCCCCACTCTCGAATTTCCCCGCGGCAGACAGTATGAAATACTCTTGTAATATCAATTTAAGGCCGAACGCCAAGTGATACGCTTTAATGTATGCAATTCATTTTGCAATTTTGATTTTTATTTACTCAGCTTGGCGCTATGGCTCAAACATAACACTGGGCTACAAAACAAGGGTTTTCCACGAATTAAAATCGTCAAATCCCGAATCGAATACCTCTAAGCCCGATATCAAATGCACAAATACTGAACTTTAATTTGGCCCTCAGGCATCTGCGTGTGCTCCCAAAGCGATTTTATTAACTGCAAAAATAAAAAAAAAATAAAGAAGAAAGAAAAGCTGGAAAAGCTGGAAAAAGGGAAAGTCAAAGCCGCAGAACAACTTTTTATTTTGCTCACATAACTTTCTTATTATTTTGTTTTCCTTTTCATCTCTGCGATAATGCCCTCTCTTTCCTTTTCCTGGGCCGTGTTTCCTTTGAACTTTATCTTAGTTGTTTGCCTTTTGTTATTGTTGCCACATTTGGATAAATTTGTGTGTGTTTATGAATATTGTATGTATCTCGGCGGAAACAAATATTTTCAACTTTTGTCGCTCAACTTTATAGCAAACATTCAGTTCCTCCCAATCTTCCTCCATCCGAAAATATTGAGTGCGCCAAAAGTTTTCGTTACGTGCATTTAATCAAATTTCTGTACTAGTATGTGGTCCGTGCTTTTGTCAGTACATCTCAACAACAATGGCCAGCACACTCTACATTCTAAGCCTTTTTGCAGTGCAGTGGGCCAGGAGCATTGTATTTGGCCAAGCGAACAAGTTGTTCGCAGAAGTTCTACTTCCCCACAAACTTACTCTTGTGTGGGCAGTTTTTATCAGTTTTCGAGAAAACTGTCATCAGTTCTGCCAATTCAAAGTGGATATATTTGTTATGACCACATAGTTATTCCATTTAGAGTGGAAAACATTGCTAGTTATACAATTGGTTTTTAATCAGCCCACTTTTAGGCATTAATTTGAAATGTGGCTTTAGCCTAAACTTCGTTTTCTCTTAGGCGCATTTGGAATACTTTGTTTTGGGATACTTTTTGCAAAAGTTTGCATATTTCATGCATACCTAAAATATATTACCCAAAACTTTCACTAAGGAAGACCGCCCGGTGTACATTATGGCGCTTTGATCCCGCTCCTTATTGATGTTTCGTGCGGGGAATCCCCTCGGTTGAGTTTGGGTCCTTGGGGTTTTTGTGCTTGACCGACTTTTCCGCACTCCTGAGTTTCGGGCGTATGCGGCACGAACCCAAATCGAGTATACGACTGGTGTGCCCTGCAATTATTAAAAATGCATTGCCATTAATTTAAATTAGCACACGCTGTAAGTCCGAGCACAGCATCATTAAAGGTGGAGTGCGACTGGAGGGCCACTACTAACCTACCTACCTACCTACCTACCTCAGGTCGTCCTGTCGGATTACAACTACAATTAAATTCAAATAAAACCGAATATCCTGCGGTGCTTTTTATGTGTGCGCTTGTAATATAAATCCTTTGGCTAATGGGGGCTACGCACACACTCAAGCACCAGCAGCAATCGCCAGAGCTCCAACTGTTCGCAGCAGGAGTTCTCCGCTCCGTGCCCCGTGCTCCATGCCCCGTGCTCCATGTTCCATGCTCCATGCTCCCGAAAAACGGGGAAAAAGAGCAATGAACCGAAAACACTGGAGGAGGAACGGAGGAGCGCGGGGGCTTGGAGCCACTAAGGTCCTGGCGCTCGGACCCAACGCACTCGTGTGGAGTCACTAATGAACAAAACTCAGCGCCTGCGATTCCGTTGGCGAGTGAGATTCGCTGCCACCATGCCACCTGGTGGCGATCCAGCACTTGATTTAGGTCCGAATTTCCATAAAACTGCATTGCTTATGCATTTAATTATTACTTATAGCAAAAGAATTGTACCAGAGACGCAGCAGTTGGCTCAGACCAAGTATTAATAATATAGTTTTCATAAAGAATATGGTTATTTCAATTATTATTCTAATATTATTATTGCTTTTTCTTTGCTCCTTTGTCTGGAATGTAAATATAAAATGTATGTGAGCACATATATTTGTACCCTTTGTTCCAGTTCGCACTTCAATCCCTGCCACATAAAGTAGAAAACAAAACCCTTTGCAAGAGTTTAAATGGAGTTTGCATATAGATACGGAGTCGCAGAATTGTAATAACCTTTTAATAATCAGCTCAAAGCCGGTAGCCGTTCACATTATCAGAGATAATGCACTCAGCCGTGGACAAGCGGCGGCATTTCAGCTTAATGTGCATTTAAGTAAATAATTGAAATTTATTGCAATTGAGGCAGAGCCCTCTCAAAGGTACAAAGCGAATGGGAAATAATGCGGCTCAATGAAATGATTGTGATGTCGTTCAGTGATTTTAAGAGTCGCTACTTACTAGTCGAGGAATGCGTAATTTGCTGGATTTGATTTGGTTGCCTTGCATATCAGTGGATGTTGCACGTATTCCAAAAGGGAAACTCGACTGGAAGTTTTACTAGGTAACGGCGCCGTCTGCTTATTTGCCACAAAAAAACGTTAGTTGAGCAAAGCCTGAGTTGCAGAAGTTGTAGGAGGTTTCCCAACTGGGGTACTGCGACTGCCCCTTTTTGTGGCAGGTCTTATTAATGTCACGTGGGCCGGTTTTAAGTACTCCCCAATGTGCGACGATGCATGCGGCAGGAAAACGCTTTCGCATCAAATGCAGCTTTCCGTATGTCGACCGAAAATAATCAGGAATCTGGGAGTCGGGAGTCGGAGCTCGACATCTGGGAACTGGTAACTGGGAAACCTTCCCCCACGTTCGGCCAATTATCATGCGCCCAAATTAGCAGCAGGCCGAGCCCAGTGGATATCAAAGTAAAGTTTTCTTATGCGAAAAAAGAAAAAAGCACATTGAAACTTAACAGAGGCAAATTACGCACACGAATTGCCCTGGACAATAAAAAAGAACACAAAAAATGGAGAAGAATGGCGAATAAATTATGAACAAGCGGGTGGCACGAGTTTTCGGGGTGGTTCCACATCTACTTGCGCGTCTAATTTGTTGGAAAATTAGTTTTGTGTGTTTTGTGCGTGTAATTTTCATGCAAGCCGAACTGGGAGCTGATGGAGATCTGCACTTGATTTTGATTGAAATACGCTGGGCAAGGAGCGGCAAAGGAAATCTTGATGCGGGGCAAGTCGCCACTGGTCTACCTCAGTGTTCCGGATGTACTGGGAAAAAATACCGTGCACTGGTTACTTACCTGGAATTTTATAAATCAAATGAACGACAAAGTATCTCATAAATACAAAAGAATTGTGTTGTGCATTTCAAAGATTAGGCACAGCTTTTATAATTTCGAAAAGTTCCCCGGCAAGAATAGATATTGTTTACTCTGATCAATTGACTTATTATAAAGTCTCGACCGTTTTTGTTTAATATTCAGCCCGTTGGGGTGAACAACTTCAATACTTCCTCGCAGAAGTGTTCTTTTTGGATTGTTCCCTTCGAGTTTTCAGATTCGCTGTTCGCTTGTCGCTTTTTTGTCTGCTCTGCTTTTTTGCCTGTGAGTAAACATTCGCACGTTTTCTGTGAAATTGTTTTCGCTTAAGTGCCGCTGTCTTTGTATCTTTCGTTCCCTCGTTCTGCAATTCAGTGCCCAGTGGACGGAGGAGATGGCTGCGACTGCGCAGACGACTTGTCTTGGGATTCCTGGGGAGCAGGGGGATCCTCCTTGATTATGAGGGCGTCACTGCACGCTGCAGACAGACTTGCCTTGTTATTTCAACGGACTGCAATCAAATGAACGAGAAAAGAGCTCTCAAAATATTCTTTAGCTGCTTTTTGAATACCCTCAGACAACAGAAATGGGGTATTTTGTGCTGGGGAAAACAGATGCAAAGGCTTAAAAAGAATAAAGCTGCTGTTGCATTAAATGTGAGAAGGAGTAGTGGTATCCTTTGAAAGGACTGTTTAAACCAACTAATTGTTGTTTGATTTTCTTGGAAGGGCATGCGAAAGGGAAATTCGTTTTTCTGCCAGGGGAAGTGACAGGAAACTGGTTTAATTGGCTGAGAACTGAAAGAGGCGTGGATCTGGCTATTAAGGCATTTTTAAGCGGGATAAGTGGAGCCCTTCCGCACTTGCTCACTCATTAGCTGCTCAAGTAGAAGCAGCTCTCGGTGCAAAACGTATCGAACTGCAAGCCCAAAGTTGAATTCAATTCAATTAGCAGCATACTTTGCTGGCGAGATACAAACGCAATGCCAAGCAGATACAATGCCCGCAGATAGTGGCAATTTATGAGGCTCATGCCATTGCCAGCATGTGGCTTCAGGTCGC